CATGCTCCCAGCTCTGTGTCCCTCACAGAGGTCTTCCTGCCTCTCAGAGAAGAAGATGCTCTGCAGTGCTCAGCCAGCACATCCCTGACTGAAAAGGGGCTGTAGTGGGACCAACACTGGGATAACGGATCCAGTCTTTGCAGCTAGCTGGGAGGGAAGGCCCAATGCACCCTTTGCAGCAACAGGGATGCAGTGAGAATAATTACCCCAAAAAAAAACATGGAGAGGAGGGAGTTGTACCCCCCTTGCCCAGATTTGGCTCAGGAGGAGGGAGGACACCCCATCCCTATCCCTGCCTCCTCCAGCAGAAAGAAGGGTAATTAGCTGGGGCTTCTGAGGACATCCCTATGGGTACCTGGGTGAGGACCCACCTCCCTCCTGCCCCAGTGCCATGGTGAGGCTGGGACCCAAGGGCTGTGTGGGCAGTGGGGTGTGATCGCAGCACCCAGCCCAGCCCTCCGCTCTGCCTGCTCCGCAGCATCTCAAGCCAGCAGGCCTCGGATGCCGTCCTCGGTGCTGTGGCGACCACGCTGAAGTCGTACCCCTTTGATTTCCGGGGCTCAAAGATCCTGTCTGGGGAGGAAGAAGGGGTCTTTGGCTGGGTCACCGCAAACTACCTCCTGGAGAACTTCATCAAGGTGGGCAGGGAATCGCAGCACCCAGCAGTGGTGGCTGCGCTGGCTGGGCAGTCCTGTAGCACATTGCATCCTTATGCCTACTCTTGTCTTCCTTGCTCAGCGTGGATGGCTTGGGGAATGGATCCAGCCCCAGAAGAAGACCCTGGGGGCAATGGACTTTGGGGGCGCGTCCACACAGATCACCTTTGAAACCAGGGACACCATTGAAGACCCCAGAAACGAGGTGATGCTGAAGCTGTACGGCCAGACGTACAAAGTGTACACCCACAGCTTCCTCTGCTATGGAAGGGACCAGGTCCTCAAGAGGCTGCTCTCAAAGCTCCTCCAGGTACCAGCACATGCTCCATCTGTCATCCACATTGCCCCCTCACCCTGGTGTTTACAGAAGGGTGCCCCCAACCCCACAGGGCCGGCTGCACCTCCTTCCCACCCATCTCTAGGTTTTTGCCCACAACCCTCTCCCATGGTCCCAAGGCTTCCTCCCACCTTCTCCATAAGGTGTTGCACCCCTCGGCCAGAGCCAAGATGTCCTAAGTCATCTTGAGATGCTTGTGGCTACTGCCAGTTCTGCATCCTGCTGCCCAGTTCCCCCTGTGTCTCCCAGTAGGGAATGGAGGCAGCAGCGCCGGGGCTGTCAGGCCTACAGCTCATCTCACACCTCATGTCGCTTCTCCGGCAGGCTGAGAGATACCAAGCCACTGTTTCACATCCCTGCTGGCCCAGGGGCTACCACAAGAGCCTATCGCTGAGCAGTGTCTATGACAGCCCCTGCACGGAGAAGGAGAAGCCAAGCCTTGCCCTTGACACCACCATCACTGTGGTCGGCACTGGGAACGGGAGCCTCTGTGCTCTGCACGTCAACAAGCTCTTCGACTTCACCTCCTGCCCCTTCTCCCGCTGCTCCTTTGATGGCATTTTCCAGCCAGAGGTCTCAGGAAACTTCATTGTAAGTCCCAGCATGGAATAGGATTGTGGCCCAGGTCTCCCCAGCCTCTCAGCATCATACAGCAGCAAAGCCAAAGCCTCTGCAAGGGCTGTTGCTGGTGCCTACCACACCATAGTGGCTGTTGGTGGCAAGAAAGCTTGCTCCCAGCCTGTCCCACAGTTGTCTCCCTTCCTCCATCAGGCCTTCTCTGCCTTCTTCTACACGGTGGACTTCATCCAGACGGTGATGGGGAGGCCTGTGCGCTTGCCCAGTGACCTGAAGGATGCTGCTGAGATGATCTGTGCCACCAACTGGAGCGAGGTGGGCTCCCTTAGCATGGTGGGGTGGAGAGGGTTGCTTCATGTGGGGGCATCACCCAGGAACTGAGAGCAGCCCTTTGAGGGAGCTGGGTGTCCTGGCACCCATGGAACAGGGGGCTAGGTGATAGGAGCAGGTGGGTATGTGTAGTGCCTTCGGGCCACAAACAAAGCCTGAACCCTCCTGGCTTGACCCTGTTTCTTTCTCCCTCCATGCATCCCATCCAGCTGCTCCAGAAAGCCCCCAGGTTGGAGAAGAGGCTGCCAGATTACTGTGCTGTCACCATGTTTGTCTATTTGCTCACCACCAAAGGCTACGATTTCAACAACCATTCCTTCCCCAACATCGCCTTCCAGAAAAAGGTGGGTGATGCTGGAGCACATCCCCATCCCCATGCTATCTGCTTGGAGTCAGGCCAGAGAGTTCTGCAGGAGAATCCCACACCAAGAAAGAGCTAAGCAGTGTGAGGGAAGATCTCGGGGAGCAGGGACAGGATGGGGCTCTTGGGGTCTGGGTGGATCTTTTGGGTGGTGAAAGGAACTGAGCTAAGCTGACTGGTCATGGAGTAAGGTCCTCCAGTCCCTCCTTGGCCCTCTAGGCAAAAGCCACTGCAAAGAACTCTTTGCTCAGGCTTGCTGGGAAGGTATCTCAGGGCAGAAACCCACCTCTGACACCTTCCTGAGCCACAGGATGGGCAGTGAGGTCAGGACCAGCCTGAGCAGACCAGATCCTGTTCCCACTGGATGAGCCCAGCTCAGCACAGGATAGTCATTACTTCATCCTCGGGGTGGCTGCACCCATGGGCGAGTGAGGGCTCAGGATGCTGAATTCCCCCCCCCCATCTCCTCCATTGGGCTGACACTGAGGTGGTCCTTGGAAGGCCTCTTGAAGCTTGTGGAGATGGGTTGAGTGGGGTGGTGACCACACCACGCTCTTCCAACAGGCAGGAGATACCTCCATCGGCTGGGCCCTGGGCTACATGCTGAACCTCACCAACATGATCCCAGCAGAGAAGCCCTCTTCCCACAAAAGCATGCTGTACAACTACTGGGTCATCCTCATCCTGCTCTTTGTGGTCACCACCCTGACATCTCTGGTGACCGCTGTCTGCCTGCTCCGGCGCAGCAAGTCTGGCACAATCTAATGGCCTTGTCAGGGGGCCTTGTCTGCAAGACCCTGCACCATCCTTCCTGCTGGAGTCTCCATGGCCTGAACACTTGGGATGCAGCAAGTGCTCAGAGATGTCCTCTTCCCATGCCCGATGCTGCCTGTCCCAGAAGGAAAGCTGCCCCTTCATGCCCTCCCCTTGCTTTCAAGCTGCAGAAAGGGAGGGACAGAAAAGGACTGCTGGCCTGGCAGGACAACGGCTTAAGGGCTTCCCAGTGCTACTCAGGGATGGACCCCAGAGCAGACTCGGGATCTGGACATTCAGACCTGGGGCATCTTCCTGCCACCAGACCTGGGCTGAACTGGGTCAGCAAGTCAAGACAATAGTAGGATTTACTTTCATGTGCATGGCGTGGGTGGGGAGCATTACTTACACTAGTCCTTATAGCTGACCTCTCTAGCCTGTCCCTGGAGCACAAGCCCTGCCTCCTGGGGGCATCACCCAGAGCCCAAGCTGTCTTCCTGGATGACACACAAACCCCACTGACCTTTTTGAGGGTCATTGATCTCAGCACACGGGCTTTGGATAGCGGCTTAGCAACAACCAGATATGGGCAGCAGGCAGCTTCCCAGGTCCCACTTCAGTAACTTCATGGTGCCTTCCCCATTCCTGTGGTTCCTAACCCAGATTCGCCTCTGGCCATAGCCAGAGCCTCCTCCATCCCCAGACAATGGCACAAAAAGTCCCCGTGGCTCCCTGGTTAAGGCCACCCCAGTGCAGAGCTGACAGGCTCACTGTGGGAGTGGGGCTTTGCTCTGCTTTAGGATTTAATCCCTGCATCACCCCTCCCCAGGCAGCTGGGAGGAGGCGCCTTCATTTCCAATTGAGCAAGAACAGGGACATGCAAACAGGCAGGTCTGGGTTTGTCTGGTTGGGGTTTTTTTATAATCAGAAATAAATCTTTGTAACCACTCCTATGGCTCTGTGGCTCATGATCAGCAAGAGGCTGGTCAAGCCTGGCTGCCCCACAGGGGTAGAGCCACTTACAGGGTCTACATGGACACAGCCACAAGTCAGGCTCTACCTGAAGGTCTCATTCCTTTGCACCCTGCCCAGGGCTGAGACACCACTATGGCTCCATATGCTTTACCAGCCTGAAGACAGACTGAACCTTCTAAGCTGATTAAAACTCTTCCACCTCCTCTTGGTCCCAGGTCTGGAGTAGGGTTTCAAGCCCACCTCAAAGACATGAGCAGGCAGCACTCAAGCCGACTGTCCTGTGCACTCACTACTGTGCTCACTCCACACAAGGAGAACACATAGGGAACCTCTGCTCCCAGAGACTGGTTCTGGTACCCAGGCAGTCAGGAGAGCAGCCCGCAGCACTGGCACTTCTGTTCATGTAGTTGTTGGCAGCTCAGAGCCACCAGGTATCCAGCTGCCAGCACAGGCCCGGTCCCGAGTTGTCAACCCCATCTGGAGCGATCCTCCAGCCCTCTGGTGTGCCCCCACACACCCTGGGAGAGGAGCAGCTTCAACAGAGCTACGGTTTCCTGGCACAACCATTGCTCCAGGGCTCTGCTCCACCAACACCCTTCCCTGCTCCCTCTACACTGTGGCTCAGCGCACCCGCCCTCTGCAGCCACTTTGCTTTTAGCTGTTCTGGCTGCTCCCCATCTCTCTGCACAGAGCAAATGGGATTCCAGTTCAGATGATGTTCTGAGACCCCAAGCCAAGTTTCCTCCCCGGGCCCCTCATCTCCCTAGCACAGGGACTCCCTCCCGTGGCGAGGCCCAGGAGCTGCACCCCAGCTCTTCCCGTCCCATCGCCGGCCTCTGTCCACACGCACTTTCAGCTCTCGACGTTTATTGCATCCCGCACATGCAATGTTCAGAGGACGCCTCGGAGGCAGCCTCTATCCCGTGGTGCCGCTACCACGCTCTCACTGCACGATCAACTCCTCTGAGGCAGTCCCGCAGGCAGCACAGGCACAGCAGGCAGGGAGGGCAGGACACAGGCATGGTGCTCTGGGCTCTACCAGCTACTCCACAATGTCCCCATACTTGTTCTTCCTCACCGGGGGTGCCGCACTCCCTCTGTCCTCCGGACTAGGCAGATCTCCTGCAACAGAAAGAACAAGCTCCCATCCTGCAGCTACAGAGTGCCGCTGTGGTACTTACATGGGGATTTTGGCAATGATGGTCACCAGCTTAACTATGAGGCAGAACAGCAGGGAAGAACCAGGCATGACAAGCCCAGGGAAGGCAGCAGGGAGGGATGTGAGCATACCTGCAGGCTGAGACACTCCACCAGCCATGGCGAGCTCTTGTGGGAACTTGCCTGTCTCCAGGTAAATCCAGAAGTCGGAGCATTTCTGTGTCTCAGCTCTGGTTACCACGTAGCTGGCGAGGGACCCTGCAGCTGAAGAGACCAAGATGCTCCTGAGAAAGGTAACAGCAAGGGCATCTGCTAAGAGTAGTGGTGAGAATTGAGCTTGCTCAGCCTGGGGAAGAGAAGGCTCCTGAAGGGGAGACCTCAGAGCAGCTCCAGTGTCTAAAGGGGCTGCAGGAAACCTGGAGAGGGGCTTGGGACAAGGGCCTGTAGGGACAGGCCAAGGGGAATGGCTTGAACCTGCCCGAGGGGAGACTGAGCTGAGCTCTTAGGCAGAAGCTCTTCCCTGTGAGGGTGCTGAGGCGCTGGCACAGGGTGCCCAGAGAAGCTGTGGCTGCCCCATCCCTGGCAGTGTTCAAGGCCAGGTTGGACACAGGGGCTTGGAGCAAGCTGCTCCAGTGGAAGGGGTCCCTGCCTGTGACAGGGGTTGGAGCTGGAGGAGCTTTAAGGCCCTTTCCAAAGCAAACTATTCCATAGTCCTATGAAAGCACCTACTGGCATGTAAGGTGCAGCTGCCTGTGGGCTATCCCTGACCCCACAGGGCTACACAGAGGAGGGATTAGCCAGGGGAGAGAAACCCCCACGCTATGGACAAGCAGCTCCTCTGCCTGCCCCACGGCACCGTCCCTGCTGCCACCCGCCCCCGGGGCCGGACACTCACCGCCGGCCAGCAGCAAGCTCCACTGGAGGCTGTAGGGCACCTTCCTGTTCACCAGCTTCTGCACCGCGAAGGCGGCCCCGCTGCCTGCCGAAACACAGGGGTCGGGCGCTCTTACCGGCCATAGCCCCGCCCGGGCCGCTGCCCCCCGCCGCTGCCCGCAGCTCCTGGGGGAGCTGGGCCGTTACCTGCCAGGAAGGTGCCGATGCCCTTCAGGAAGGCGTGGGACTGGCAGGCCGCGTACTGCTGCAGCGCCTGCGGGGACACGCTTAGCGCGGGGCGCGGACACCCCTTCCCCCGTTCCCCCGTTCCCCCCTTCCCCCGGCTCCCTCAGCCCCGGAGCCCACTCCTCTTCCCCCCAGCGCACCGGGTGCTTGGCGGCCACCTCATCCTCCACTCGCCGCAGCCCCAGCGTCACCATGGCCGGGCTGGTGGCTGCGCGGCAGCGAGGGCCCGCACGGCCTCGCCCGCCCCTTCCGGCGCGACAGCCATGGCGGAGCCGGCAGGGCCTTTCTACCGGCTGCAGGCCGGGTCGTGCCGGTACCTGTGCTACTGCCGGCCCGGCGGCAGTGTCCAGTGAGTGTGGGGCTGGGAGTGCGGCTGGGGCCGGGGCCGCGCTGGGGCTGGGGAGCCCCGGCGTAACCTGAGCCGCTCTCTCCGCAGCGTGACCGATGCGCTGGAGGTGTGGGCTGGGACGCTCGGCGTCCCCCCGGAGCTGGGCTGCGTACGTACAGGGGCTGGGGTCGGGAGCCGGGGCTGGGGCCGGGGCCGGGTACCGGGGCTGGGGTCGGGAGCCGGGGCTGGGGCCCGGAGCCGGGGCTGGGGGGCGGGTCCGGGGCTGGGGGGCGGGTACCGGGGCTGGGGGCCGGGTACCGGGGCTGGGGTCGGGAGCCGGGGCCGGGTACCGGGGCTGGGGGTCGGGAGCCGGGGCTGGGGGCCGGGGCTGGGGCCGGGTACCGGGGCCGGGGCTGGGGCCGGGGCCGGGTACCGGGGCTGGGGGTAGGGGCTGGGGCTGGGGCCGGGTACCGGGGCTGGGGGTCGGGAGACGGGGCCGGGGGTCGGGAGACGGGGCTGGGGGCCGGGGCTGGGGCCGGGTACCGGGGCTGGAGTCGGGAGCCGGGGCTGGAGTCGGGAGCCGGGGCTGGGGTTCGGAGCCGGGGCTGGGGTCCGGGGCCTGGCCAGGACCAAGCGGTTTCGGGACCTGCCCTCCTCCCGTGCAGCGCTGCCAGCCGGAGGAGCACGGCGCGAAGCTCAGGTGCGTGCGGGAGCGCGGGGGGACCGGCCCCGGCTACGGGCCCCGCTGACCCTGGATCGCCCGGGCAGGGAAGCCCTGGGGCGCGGCGCGGCCTCGTTGAGCCCGGGGAAGGCCCCGGGCACGCTGCGGCTGCAGGGGGATGCTCCGTGCTCGGCCCTGGATCTCCGGCCGCTGCCCGCCGAGGAGGCGAGGAGCCAGCTGCGGGCGCTGCTGTTGGGCATGGCGGGGCGCATCGAGAGCCTGGAGAGACGCCTCAGCGGTACGGGAGGGCCGATTGAATCGGGGTAAAGGGGCGAGAGGGTGGGCAGCTCCCTGCAGCCTTCGTGGCATCATCCGCCCACCCAGAGGGGGCCAGATCAGCTCCGGGCCTCTCTGGCCTCACCCCAGGTGGTTTCTCCTCCTTGGTCCCACATGGACTGACCAGGAGGCAGTAGAGGTGCTGCTGCTGCCTTCTTCCTCGTTGGCTGCTTAGTTCCCAAAGCTGGCCAGGATTTGCATTTCATCACCTCGGGTGGAAGGGCTCCTGTGTGGGAGCAGTGTTGTGTCCCTGTGCAGAAACAGCCTTGTTCCCGTGGCCCCATCATTGGGGGGGGAATTCACCTTACAGAGGTCTCTGTTTTAGGGGCCTAGGAAGATCCTGGGGCTTTGGCAGCCTGGGTGAGAGTTCTGGGAGGAGAACATGGCTCGGTTTGGCTGTAGAGGACAGGGAACTAGCAGGGAAGGCCTGGGGTGCTGCTTGCTGCATTAGACTGTGTGTACGGTCACAAGGTCTGGCTCTGGTTCTTGTCTCAACAGTGGTGGAGACACTGGCGTCTTCCTGCAGCCCTGAGAAGAATCCATCCCAGAACCAGCAGCAGTTCCTGCCAGGTAAGCAGTTGCCAGGGGGCCCCTGCCCTGGTCCTGCTGTTTATTTGTTTTCTCTTCCCTAGGAGGCTGTTGTTTCTGTGTCCATGGGCTCTCCAGGACACTTTGAGCCCCCTTGACTGTGGCTTGTCAGCATGGTGTCTTGTGGGTGTCTGGGATGTGCTGTGCTCAGGTCAGGTGCCAGGCATCATGAGGTAGCCTCCAGGAGGAGGTCAGGCTTCACTGCTCCTCCGGGCTGGAAGCTGTGGCAGGTCCATGTCTCCCTGCTCCTTTGGGAGAGGAGGCCAGGCTTGGCCCTTCCTTGCTCACCGTGTTTGCTGGGTCTGCCAGACTGGGCTGCGGGGCACTCCCCCTGGGCATAGAGGGATTTGCAGGGTTACCAGAGCAACTGGCTGACCCTTTGTAATCCCTGTCCTGTGCGTCCCTCACCGAGGCAGACCCCAAGCCTTGGAAGAACAGGGGTGCTGGCTCTGCTTTGCCAGCCAGGAGGAAGATCCCAGGGGAGTCTCTCATTAATCCTGGCTTTAAAAGGTGAGTGCTGGGGCCAAGTGCTGTGAACGGGCTGTGTAGAGGTCCCATGAACTGTGCTCTGTAAGTGCATGGGAGCAGGGGGTGTGATGCTTCCTCCATCTCCTAGCAAGAAGGCACCGTCTGGAGTAGACTTTGAGGACTCCTGACCTGTGCTGCCCTACCAGAGCCTGGCCAACTGCGGCTCTGGCAGCTGGAGGTTTCACTTGCACCTGGGGAGACAGATGGACCAGCAGGACCCAGAGGGCTGGCTTTGTTCCCTGCAGGTCTTCCCTGCTGGCAGGGGCCACCTCCCTACCTCGCTTGCCATGAATTTGTGGGGTTTTTAAAGAACTTTTATATTGCCATGTAACTAAAAGATTGCCTGTGCTTATTGCCAGTAAAGACACGTTTAGCCAGCTGGTCTCTGGGGACCAGGACACCATGGGTGGCCCATTCTGCCTTTCCTTTGCTTGGGAATCCTGTTGCCAATTTCAACTGACCTTGGAGAGTCAGGGACTCAGAGTTCACCTTCCTGACAGCTTTGTGCCAATGGGCTGGTGGGTGAGTGCTTGGAGCTTTCCCAGGAGGGCTGGGAGAATGGGCCCAGTCCCCGCTGTGCACTGGGAATGGGGTGTAAAGTCCTGTGAGGGATGAGAGCTGCTGAGGCTGGTCACTCCTGACACATTTGTCTCAACTTGCAAAGCCTTTATTGATTTCAGAGCTCTGGTACATGGCTTGGACTTGCCCTGTCTCATCCCCATCCCTCTCCCAAATCTGCTCCCGAGAGCTTCCTAATGAAAGGTTCTGGGGGCACAGTGCCCTTTGCTCCCCTTGCCTAGGGGATGAGGCCCTGCCGTGTCCTCCACCCGTGCCATGCTCTGCCCCCCCAGTCCCAGGGCTGTGCCATGGCTGTGCTGGTTCCCCTCACTGGTGCAGCTGCTTGGGAACATCCCGCTGTGGTCACTGACTGGCAGGTGGCATCCTGTGCCTCCAAGGGAGGTTGCAGGCATGCCCACTGCCCTCTCTGCCCTACAGCCCTCTGCCCTATGAGCAGCTTTTCCTCCCCAGCTGCTGCCCTTGTCTTCAGCACTGCCCAGCTTTGGTACAGATGGTGTACCCGTTGCAATGCTTGAGGAACCACAGGGCAGGTTGAGGGGGTGCTGGCTGGGCTGAGAGGGTGGCACAAGAGGTGAGAATGCATTTGTGGGTGCAGTGCAGTGCAGATAGCTGCCAGCATGCCAGGTAGGGGTGCCAGCTGACAGCTTGTGCTCACTGCCCTCCCCAGTGCGTGCAGGCAGGGCTGTGATGGTCACAGCAGGACCAGGGCAAGTGCTCACTGCAGCGAGCGCACCACGGAGCGATAGGCTTGTACAATCTCCTCGCTGCTGGGGCAGCTATATCTGAACTCCTTGGTTTCCCTGGCACTGTTGAGGTACCGCCACACGCCCCGCAGATCCTTGGGGATCCCAAAGCGCCTGTAGTGCTGGCACACGACCTGCGGGCAGGAACGGGGTGAGCCGCTGCCCAGCACTGCATGCCCAGGGTGTGCCATTGAGGGCCCCATGGCCAGGGGCTGGTACTGACAAGCAGGAGGGTGGCAGGGGACATCCCTGGGACTATGCAGGATGAGGAGTCGCATGGAGGTGGTATGGGGGTTGGCAAGTGAACAAGGGGTTGCTGCAGGCGCCAAGGGGCAGGGCTGGGGAGCCAGGGAGAGGAGCAGGGCACGGTGCTGAGGTGCCAGCACTCACCTGCACGATGTTGAGCTTGGGCAGCAGGCTGCAGTCTGCCAAGGTGAGCTGATCCCCGTCGAGGAAGCGGCGTCGGGAGGCCCGGAGGTGGGGCTCATGGGCCAGCTCGTGCGCCAGGGGGGCACTCAGGAACTCATCCAAGTCCAGCAGGGCCCGCAGCAGGTTCCGCTGCAGCGCTGCAAAGCATCAGGGCCCCTCAGCTGTGCTGCAGCTCCTGCCCCATGCCCAGCCCCATGCCTGGGCTCAGCCACACTGAGCTGTGTGGGGAGCGATGGCACCGGAGCCCCGGCTGGAGCAGGGGAGGGCTGCAATGGCCCAGGGTGACCCGATGGGGCTCTAGGGTGGTGCCACCCCAGAGGCTGTGTGAGGTGTCCGTCCCCACCCAGTGGCTCACCCTGGTCCTGGGCAGGCACCGGGTTCTTGATGTAGGTGGAGAACTTGTGGAAGATGTCATTCCCTGCCAGGCTGGACTCCCTGTACTGCGGGGTCAGGCTGGGGAACCTGCCGGGACACAGGCACAGCTGAGGGGGGCAGCAGGAGCTCATGTGCTGTCTGCTGCCCCCCCCCCCAGCCTGTCCTGCCCCTCTCTGGCCCCTGGACCCCTGTCAGGGCAGCAGCCACCACTGACATGGGCGGGCCCAACTTGTCCTCCAGGAAGTCCTCGATGGTGACAGTATCAGTCTTTGCCTCGCCGTTGTAGAGTAAAACGGGCAGCTGGGCCCCCGGCGCAAAGTCCTTCAGCACATCCAGTGCCCTGCGGGAGATGGGGACACATCATAGAACCACTGAATCAACCAGGTTGGAGAAGCCCTTTAAGCTCATCCAGTCCAACCCTTACCCCAGCACTGCCAAGGCCACCCCTAACCCATGGCACTGAGGCCTCGTCTCCACGCTGTGTGAACACTTGCAGGGACGGTGCCTGCAGCCCTGCCCTGGGCAGCCTGTTCCAATGCCTGAGCACCCTCTGGGGCAGGAATTGTTCCTCAGCTCCATCTAACCCTGCCCTGGTGCAGCTGGAGGCCGGTTCCTCTTGTCCCATCCCTTGTTCCTTGGGAGCAGAGCCCAGCCCCTCCTGGCTCCATCCTCCTGTCAGGCAGCCATCAGGTCCCCCCCCTGACCCTTCTCCACACTGAACCCCCCAGGTCCCTCAGCCATTCCTCATGAGTTCCTAGGGCTCTGCAGTGTCCTGGGCAAAGGGACTGCATCTCCTCAGCATGTGCCTATTGCAGCTCAGCCCTGGGAGAAGCCCACAAACCCCTCTCAGACAGTGGGGGGGGATGTACAACAGTCGCCATGGTCCCACAGTGCCCATCCTTTGCACCCTTCCCAAGGTGCTGGGGACATACCATCCCCCATCGCTGTGCCAGGGCAAGTCTGTCCACCCCGCCTGTGACCCCAGGGCTGGCAGCCCCTTGGGAGGAGGCATCACTCACCTCTTCACATCCACGGTGGTGAGGGTGAAGGGCACCCCCTTGAGCAGCAGCACCATGAAGAGCCGCTGGCAGAAGGGGCAGTGGCCCACGCTCTCCCCATCCTCACTTGCCTGTGGGCAGAGGGAGAGCTCAGTGGCCCCTTTGCCCAGCATGGCTACAGAGCAGCTCTGGCATCGGCTGTACTGGGCAGGGCACCAGCACCTCCCAGCTCCTGGGGCCTTGCTGCCTCACCCCATCAGCCTCAATGGCACAGCAGGTGCTGGCCCTGGCCCACGGGGGGACATGAGGACCCCAGCCCCACGGAGCTGAGGAAGACGGGGCCTGGGGCAGCTGTGGCAGGGGAGAACCCACCACAGTGGGGACCGTACTGGAGAAGGGTGACGGTGATGCCAATGGCCCCATCGCTGCCGGGTGTGAGCGCAGGCGGGCCCGTCCTGTCCGGTGGAACCAGGCAAACCGCCCTGGCCGGGTGGAGGCAGGGGCAGGGGATGCTGAAGTTGGGGGGCTGGTAGGGGGGGTATCCCAGCCCAGCACCCCAGGCTGAGCACCAGAGCGCTCCCTGCCCACAGGCAGCACTATGCTGTGTCCTGGGGAAGAGCCCCGAGCTGCCCACTGCTGTCCATGGCACTGCATGAGCGCTGCAGTGGGCAGAGGCAGCACACCCAAACCAGCCCAGCAACGCCTGAGGCCCTGCCAGAGGTGCCCCCGACCCCTCTCACCTTAACGAAGAGCTGGATCTGGGGTTTCTCGGCCATGCCGGGTGCTGGCTCCTGGATGAGTGCTGGCGGTGCCGTGAGCGCCCCAGAGCCGTGCCTGCTCCCAGCCCACATTCCTCCCTAGGGCGCACCTGCTCCCACCCATGCCTGGCCCCACAGCAGCCAGGGCCGCCCTGCCATGGGGCCCAGCCCCAGCCCTGCACGGGCAGCTCCTGCCTGTGCCCCCAGCCAGCTCCACCACCCACCCTGGAGATGCCAAGTGCTGGGTGCAGCCCTGTGTGGGGCCCAGCTCCCTTTGCCCATTGCTTGTGCACTGTGACCCCCCCCCCTCCTCAGCCCCTGCCCATCAGCACCCACACGCTCTTGCTGGCTCCAGTTATTTTTTTTTATTTAAAACGATCATTATTTTTCACATTTAATCTCTTTGTTTCTTTTGCTAGCAATGTACAGGCTCCTCCGAGGCGTCCTCGCCCCGTGCCCCGCACGGCACCGGCACTGTGCCCGCGGCTGGTGGCCAAGGACGTGCCAAGGGAGGCAAGACGGAGGCGAGGCCAAACTGAACCAAGCAAATAGTGTTAAGGCAGCAACCACCCCTACCCCTGCTCCCATCCCACCGCCACCCTCAGGGTGCTCCCAGTGGGGTTTGTGCCACCACGGCTACCCAGGTTGCATCTCCATTGACCACCAAAAGCCATGGGGCACGGGGATAGTGGCACGCATAGGGTGGGGGCAGCTCTGCAATGGGAGGGTTATGGGGATGCTCCACACCTCCAGTGCCAGCGCCCACCCGGAACCTGGCAGTGGGGCAGGCACAAAGCCCTGGCCAGATCATGGCTCTACCTCGGGGTGCCACCACTGAGGTCAGCTGGGACCCAAAGGTGACACCATCCCTTCTTGCCCTGGTGGCAAAGGGCTGGCCCCAAGCTGGCTCATCCCCAGGGTGCCCCTGTCCTGTATGCCATAAAAAAAATATGGTCTGAAAAATCTGAAAATAGAGCTCATCTCCCCCCAGGTTCCCCTATTGAAAATACTGTATTTTGTATCACAATCTAGAGCGGGTGGCATACAGGACTGGAGGGGACCAGGGGCACAGGGACAATGGAGAGGCTGTCCCTGCTCCTGTGACTGAGCCCTAGGTGCTGCCCATGGCAGGAGCCAGCCCCGGGCCTCCTGCTGAGCCCGTGCCAGGAGGCAGAAGGGGCAGGCAGGTCCCCTGGCTGCTGCAGAACATAGGGCATGCAGGGGTGGGTGGTTGGGGTCCGTGTCATGGGTCCGGCAGTCACCCCACCTCTGGGCACAGCTGCGGGTCACTGCAGGCTGGGGGTGCTGCATGGTCCCTGTGGGTGACAAGGCAGCAGGCCCCTCTGCAGAAAGGAGGGGCACTGACAGCCCTGCTGCCACAGTCCATCGTCCCCCTACCAGCCCAGGCACTGCACCCACACCAGGCTGTGCTGTCGTGTCCTTCTACCCCAAGGCTTCTAAAGCCATCCTTGGGTGCAGCAACCCCTCTCACAGTCCCACCAGTGCCCCAACAATAAAAAACCAATGCAGGTGGCTCCTGCACAGGGCCAAACACTAAGCTATGAGTGGCAAAGGGGAGAAAGAGGGGGCACAACTTGCCCCCATGGCAGCAGTGCCCTGTGGTGGGGTGGCAGGAGGCAGGGTGAGTGGCTCTGGGAGGAGGGATGTGGTTGGGGGCAGAGGGGGGAAACAGCTGGTGCCAGCATGTGAAATACCCTGTGAAATACCCCCTGCCATCCTACGTGCCCCCTGCCTGGCCCCGGGATGGGGCCAAGTGCCCAGTACATGTGTGGCAAGACTGGGCAGGATGCTCCAGTGGGGAAACCCTGCCTTGGGCAAGCAGATCACTGATGCCACCCCATTTGTGACAGAAATCAACCTGGGGTGAAGCACCAGAGCCCTGGTACTGGACTGCAAGCTACCCAAGGGCAAATGCCAAGCCAGGGATGATGGAAACAAGGCAAAAGCCATATCCTTCCTCTGACCTTGCTGGGGCTAGGCCTGGGGTGGTGACAGTGCTGGGGGGTGTCCCTGCAGCCGGGGTCCAAGGGATGGGTACAAAGACGAGGCACCACTCACAGGCCTCGACTGTGCCACACAGCAGGCAGGGCCGGTGGCACTGGCAGACACACGTCCTTCTCTTCACAGTCTCCATCCATGGCACGTGCTGGCTGGGTGAGCTGGTGGCCCTGGCACCCCAGAGCTGAAGGGGACCAGCTGGCTGTGTTGGCTCGTGGGGGTCCATGCACCACATCATCCCTGGCACGTGGCTCCAGCTCTGCTCAGCAGCGCAGAGGGGAGAGGCCGAAAGGGTTCGGTGGCTTCACAGCTGGGGGACATGGCTGCACCGGGGTCTCAGCACAGAGTGTCCGTGTTGAAGGAGAGCTGAGCCTGAGGGCATGGAGTAGGCTTAGGGGCTGGCTGGGGACTGCTTGCTCTGCCCAGAACACCCAGTGCTGCTGGGCATCACCTGCCACCCGAGACCTCACTTGGGTCCAACCCTGGCCCCACCCCCAGAAGAGGCCTGGTGCTGCAGCATCACAGAATCCCAAGGGTTGGAAGGGACCTCAAGAGATCATCTGGTCCAACCCCCCTGCAAGAGCAGGGTAACCTAGAGTACATCACACTGGGACTTGTCCAGGCGGGCCTTGAGTATCTCTAATGTGGGAGACTCCACAAGCACCCTATCCTGGTGCCCAGCACCAGGGACAAGCTGGGATCAGGAACACCCACATCTGGAGCAACCTCTCCTCACCCTCTCCTCCTCAAAGCTGATGAGGCCTTCGTCGTCAGTTTCCAGGTCCTCCTGCTCTTCCACCACCAGGGCCCGCAGCTCAGTGGGGGCAGCCCGAGGGCGCAGCAGGCTCAGCACACGCTCCAGGGGTGACTGCAAGGCGCAGCTTGGGCTCGTCTCCTGCTGCTCCAGGTTGTCACTTTGCTTCTTGGCAAAATTCACAAATACCTGGGGACAGGGCCAGAAGAGTTAGGGCCACCCCGTGCCCACCATCAGTGACACCGGAGACAGGCCCCAGAGCATCCCACGGGCTGGGGCCACCACATGCTCCCACCTAGCTCCACCTCCCATCCCAAAGGCAGTTTCTGCCAGGCACTTTGGCACGGGCACCCTCCCTGGTGATGCACATCCAGCAGCCCGCGCCATCCCCAGTCTCACATTGTCCAGCGTGGTCTGGCTGACAGAGTAGTCTTCAATGCCCAGCACGTCCACCACCTGCTCCATCTTGCTGAAGACCTGCGCCAGTGAGATCTGGTCCGACTTCAGCTGGTACTGGGCCTTGGTGTGGTGCCGCTCCTGTGGGACATGAGGTGACACCTGAGCCCTCGCTCCCTGACCCCTCCTGTCCCCTGCAGGGGTCCCACAGAGGTGTCCCTTGGAGGATGACAGCTGCCTATGTCCTGAGGCAGGGGCTGGCAGGGGACTGCACCCCCATCACAGGGAGCTCACTTTGAGGACAGCCTCGGGGAAGTTGCGGTTGAAGAACCTCACCACCTCCTTGACGTTGAGGCTGGACTTGGTGCGCACTGTGATCATGTAGCCATCACCGAACCTGCACAGGGACAAGGGACCCCGTGAGGACCCACCACCACCTGCACCTCGGTGGGGAAGGACCCCATGGAAGAGGACGATGCCCCCCGTCAGCTACTGCACCCACGAGGACAGTGCCAGGATGCTCCAGTGAGCTTGTCCCCTGCTCACCCTCAAAGCAGCGCTCACACACACACTGACATCTCACCATGGGTGCCACACCACTACCCCTTGCCCACAGCGCATGCGAATCCCCACTGGGCTCTTACCGGTTCTTCAGGTGCTGGATGCTGCCAAGACATTTGAGCCGCCCGTTGACCATGATGGCCAGGCGGGTGCAGAGCGCCTCGCACTCCTCCATGCTGGGAGACAGAGCAGGCATCAGCAGGGTGACATGGGGACACACAGTAGAGGACTCCCCACACCTTTACCCCGGTGGCTTCACCACAAGGGATAGCAAAAGGCAAGAGGGTGTCCCAGGCTCCCAAGGGTCCAGAGACCTCCCCACTCCACAGCACCCAGAGGCACCACAGGCCCAGTGTGAAGCCCCCTGAACCTGTGAGATGTGAGCACCACGGAGCGCCCCGTTTTGATGACATCCAGGATGAGGTTCCAGAGGAAGCGCCGTGCCTTGGGGTCCATCCCCGTGGTGGGTTCGTCCTGGGGGACAGAGAGCATCCTCAAACATGCCAGCCCCTGGTACCCTGCCCTTCCCCTCCTGTCATACCAGCCCACCCCACAGCCCAGAACACGTGGTGGAGCTGGGGGCAGGCAGCTCCCACACGGGGGCATTTCTCCACCCTGCACAGTGCCAACCCCAGGGACAGGCGGTGGGTGGGAGGAGGATCCCATGGGCAGGGTGTTGGAGGCCAGGGCGCACCAGGAAGATGAAGGCTGGGTATCCAATCAGTGCAATAGCCGTGGAGAGCTTCCTCTTGTTGCCCCCGCTATAGGTGCTGGCAGGTTTGTCCGCATACTTGGTCAGCTCCAGCTTCTTCAGGGCCCACTTGACCACCTGCAAGCACAGGGGTTGCTGCCATCACCTTGCCAAGGCAGAGCTGGCAGCAATTCCACAGTTGAGCTCCATGGCACAGGCCAGCAGCCAAGGGGACCACAAGCCATGTGCCAGCCAGGGGAGCCCCAAGTGTCGGTAAGGACCTGCAAGCATGTGTGCCTGCCCCTGGTACCCCATGTGTGTGCACCAGCAAGACGGCTCTGCCATGAGGGCACCAGCACTGGCTCAGGGCCCTGATGGAGGCTGCTGAGATGCCATCCTCATGGCACAACCCCAGCCCATGTCGCCCACCCAGGCTCCTACCCGCTCCTCATCCTTCCAGGGAATGCCACGCAGGCGGGTGTAGAGCTCGAGGTGCTCCTGGGCTGTCAGCTCATCAAAGAGTGCATCGAACTGGGGGCAATAACCCAAGCTCTGCTGGACCTGCAGGAGCTCCTTCAGGATGCTACGGGAAAGGAAGGGGCCGTGGGGAGAAGAAATGGCTTTTCAGGAGCACCCCATTGCTCACCCCCACTTTCACATGCCTTTATACTGGAGTACCTTCTATAAGGTAACCCACAAGAGGCTGAGAGCTGGTGTCCCTTGCCACCTCCCAGATGGTCAGCCCAGCAGGACATAGCTGCAGCTTCCCAAAGAACCACATGGGCACACTCATCCTGGGAGACCCCACCTCATCCCCAGGACAGCAGGCAGTGCCCACCTCCCTCCCACCCAGCTCATGCTGCCCAACCTGTGCCCATTAATGAAGGCCTCTCCACCAGTGGTGCTCTCGTCCCCTGTCAGCATCTTGAAGGTGGTGGTCTTGCCCGCTCCATTGACACCCAGCAGCCCAAAGCACTCCCCGGGCCGCACACCAACACAGAGCCGGTCCACGGCCAGGATGCGCCCGATCTTGCGGGACTTGTACACCTGTGGGGCAGGGGATGGGGACTCAGCCCACCCGGAGACACCTGTACCCCACTGCTCTCAGGTGTCTCCTTGCATCCCTGGTACATCCCCCACCGTGGCTGCACCTTGGTGAGGTTCTCAATCTTCAGCATGTCGTTGTCAGCATCGCCGCGCAGGACCCGGTGCCGCTCGTTGGCCACGTCGATGTCGTCCTCAATTGGTTTGGTGGAGACAGGCAACCGCCTGCAGGAGGGCGGGCGTGGGGATGAGTGTAGGGGAGCTCCCGGCTTGCACCCACAGGAGGGGCAGCCTGGAGCTAAGGGGCCCTGACAGCAAAGCCCTTCCCATGGGTGTCCCTCCAGCCTGCCCCCAGTGCCCAGCCACACTCACTGGGGCTTCCGGAAGAAGTTGTACTGGCACATGATGGTGATGAAGAAGCCGACAAAGCCTTCGATTGTCATGGCAACGAGCCCCCGCGTCACGATGTCCCATTCGAAGGGTGATTTCATTTTATCAAACTGCCCTGGAGTGGGAGGAAGAGGAGAGAGCAGCTGGGGACACCCTACTGTGGGAATAACCCTGCTCCATGTCTTGAGCTGGTCTGGGACAATGACACTGTCCTGCTCTGTCCCCTTCCCCGCCGCAGCTGCCTGGGCACGAGGATTTCCATTCACAGCACATGGGCTGTTGAAATCACCTTCCAACTTCTCGGCCTCAGTAGGGTGGATCAGCTCACTGAGAGTTGGGATGGATTTGTCAGATCCTACCCTAAAACTGTCCCTTGTGCTGCCAGCAGCACCTGGGTTATATATGGAAGCTGCTAGAGAGGCCAAGCTGAAGCTGTGGGTAGAAAAGGGCTCATTCTGGCTGGGCTGCGCAGCCCTGCAAGCAAGAGACCACATCTGGAAGGAGAGAGTCTTTGCAGTCCCCATCCCTCATACTGCACAGCCCCACCACAGCCCCACACCACAGCCCGCCCCCACCAGTCTGCAGCATCAGCATACAGCTCTGCCAGGGCTGCTCTCCCCATAGGACTGTTACTCAGGATAGCCCAAGGAATCATTTTCATCATCACCAGCACTAGGCCATGCTGACCAACTGTAACTCTCCCAGTCTACTGCACAGCCCCTGGCTTTTTGTTCCACAGTGTTCTGGGGCTCAGGACACCACACAGGGCAGGTGAAAGGGATGTGTGGGACCCCCCCACCCAGCGCCACATGCCCTGTAGCAAGGATGAGAAAGAACAAGAGGCCTTACCAATCTTGGCATAGTATTCGTTGATGTACTCATTATAGGCCATCTCCATCAAGCCATGACCCAGGTTGTAGTTAGGGAATACAAGGAAGCAACTCTTCAGGTAGCTGTTCACCACCTTCAGATCCTATGAGGACGGACAGAGAGAACACGACCATCAGAAACACCCTGAGGGCTGTGACAGCATGGCAGGGTCAGGATTCCCACCAAGATGCGGTTCCACTTCCCTGGCAGTGTTCAAGGCCAGGTTGGACACAGGGGCTTGGAGCAAGCTGCTCCAGTGGAAGGGGTCCCTGCCCGGGGCAGGGGTTGGAACCGGATGAGTTTTGAAGTCCTTTCAACCCAAACCAGCCTGGGATTCTAGGATTCTACAATACAGCCCAGTCAGGTCCCACAGTGGACCCTGCTGGGAGCAGGAGTTTGGAGCAGAGACCTCCTGAGCTGTCCCACAACCTGATGCCAGCTTCTCCCTGCCTGGTGGCCCCAGGCAGAGCTCTAAGTCTCATACCTTGTCATGCTCAAAGAGCTGCAGCAGGAACGTGGCGACAGTGGCTGTGATGCCGATGAAGAGGTTGATGACAATGAGGAAGACGTAGGCAGAACTGGGCACCTCGAACCAGAAGGAGGCAGGGTACATGATGGGTGTGATGGACCAGCTGGGGAGGTGAGCAGCAGGAGCACCCATCAGTGTGGCAGGAGAGGGACAGGACAGTGCCAACCTTGGGCTCACCCATCTCCCAGCACTGCCCTCCCTAGGCTCTCCAACCCCAGCTCTCGCAGCCCACCAGCTATGGGAGCGGCAGAACATCAGATTAACAGCACCAAGGCCAGATCCTGCCCATGCAGCCACAGTGCAGATGAGGCACAGCAGGGATGGACCAGTGCATCCTGACCACCCCTCTAAGCAACGTACCCATAGAGCAGGAAGAGGGAGAGGACGGCGGGGAAGTTGGTAGGAGAAGTATATGCCGGGAGGTCGAACACGAACAGGATGATGATGCAGCATGTGGCCGGCACCAGGTAGTTCAGCTGGAGAAGACAGGAACATCAGTGGCTGCTCAGCCACACACACAGCCCTGGGGGCTCAGCCATGGGGTGGGACCATGCACCCTGCTCACCATGTCCCACACGTAGTTGGCCAACCAGTAGATGACAGGGTCACAGCCACTGACAAATTGCAGATGCTTGGCCTTGGTGGCCTTTTCAGCCACCAGGAACACCACAAAACTGGCTGGCACAAACGACATGGCCACGATGATGAAGATGGCAATCACCACGTCGGTACCTTGCAGGCTGCATGGGGAGCAAGGAGGAGAGCAGAGACCCCATCACTCTCAGCTGCCCAGAGAAGGACCACATGGTCCTGGTGTGGGCCAGGGCATGGCACACGGACCCCCATGTCACAGCCACCTGGCCCCCTGCCACGCAGCTTGTAAGGCAGAAACCTCAGCACTGCAGCACTGCCCTGCAACCCACGGTGAGGAGCATCCTCTTTCCCACAGGACAGCCACCCTCCCTCCAACCCACTCCCTGGACCTACAGGTAATCCAGGGACAGGCTGGCACTCGTCTTGTTCATGGGGTGGTTGGTGACCGTGATGCCTGCAAGATGACCCAAGAAGAAACATGAGAGTCTGAAGGCTGGCTCAGCACAAAAAGTCTCGTCCCCAGCCTGCCTGGTGCTGGCTTGGAGCAGGACAGGTTTTCTCCCTGCAGCTTGGCAGGAGCTGACCTGTCTGAAGCCTCCAAACACCTTGAGGCCAAGCCCTCCCTCACCAGCTGGCAGAGAGCATTCAGACACACACTGCAAGCCCAGGTGCCTCCAGGCAGCACTCTGGGGCATTCTTCCCAGCCCAGACCAGAGAGATCTGCCTAGCCCAGATATAGCCAAGACGTGTGACCTCCCTGCCCCAACTGGGCACTGGGCTGCTTGGTCCAAGGAGGGAACATTGCACTTTAGAGCCTGGTTGGACCATGTCCTAAAGCTGTTCCTGCCCTTATCTGCCTCCAGGTCCTCACCATAGGCAGCAGGGTTGCCTTTGCTCTTGGGCAAGTTGGCTCGCAGGATGGCGTTGTTGAGAGCGTTGAGGTAGGTGGGCATGCTGTGATAGCCCTTGTTGTTGTAGAAAACCTGAAGCAGAGAAGAGTGGTGGGAGGTGGCAAGAGAGCTGGGCCCATGGCATCTGTGCTCGATGGGCCAGCCACAGGGCAGGCTTCCTGTGCTCCTGGCTGTGGGCACAGCAGGTCAATGCTGACCACGCTGGGCCAGACCTGCTGGGGTGGAAGCTGCAGAACACCATGGGGCAAGAGCCCCGCCAGATCCTCAGTGGAGAGCACAGCCACAGAGCAGGGTGAGAGGCTCCTGCTGCACCCACAGCACTGCTGTCCCCTTCTCCTCCCCACCCACCCATGGCTGCTGCTGCCCTCCCATCCCCAGCCCCATGGCGCAGTGTGGTTGTACCTGGGCCGTTCTCCGCACAGCGATCTTGCGCACCGTGGCAGGAGCCCTGGCCCCAAAGGAGGCCGGGATGGATTTCTGGACGTTGCCGAAGGTGAGTGCCCCATACCTGTGGGATGAGGCACCATCAAAGAGCCGTGGCCACTGTCCCCCCCCCTCCCGGAGTGGGGCCATGCTCCTGTCAGCACCCCAGGAAGGTGTTCCCCAGCTCCTCGGTCCCCCAGCCCTGTTCCTCCCCGCCTCCCTCTTGCCTGTGCAGCCGGAAGCGGTCCGAGGTGTAGAGCAGATACTCAGAGACGTTGCGCCCTGTGATGTCTGCCAGGATGTCCCCTGTCACCACCTTCATCTGCGGCGGGTGGCCCCCCACACCACTGGGACAGGAGAAGCCAGTCCCCTGCATGGAGCATGTGCACTTGATGGGCTCGTGGACAATGTGGGGCAGGGCAGGAGCCGAGGTCACGGTCTCTGAGGGGCAGAGAGGGCAGCTCACAGCCAGGCTCCTGTCTGCCTCGTTGCCCAGGACAATGTCGGGCAGGGGGCTGAGCCAAGGGGTCCCAGCCAGGCAGGGAGTGAGGGAGTGCATGCTCTGAGCCAGCGAGAGTGCTTGTGTGTCCTGGTGACTGAGAAGGACTCAGAGATGGACATGGGGGAAAACTTCAGAGGGCAGAAACACTCCAGAGAGGGGGCATGGAGTGTGGCTGGAGAAGGCAATGGCACAGCGAGGGTGACACGAGGCTGGCCACAGGGCTCTCAAGGGTGTCACCATCCCAGGGAGTTCTACCAGCACTGCCAGGGCTGAACAGAGAGAGCAGTGCTCCATGGCCAGTATCAGCCCTGCAATGCGATGCTCTGCTATGGCCAGGCCAAACTGACAAGGATTCCTAGAGCTGCTTCTGCAGGGGAGATGCATCACCTCCTTGATGGAGTTGAATCCTAGGCCTGGACACACTCAAGCACCAAGCGTAGGTGATACCTTTGACGGCAGAAGAGAAAGTCGTGGAGTTCCAGGCACGGAGCAGGTCCTCATCCATCGAGATGGGGTAATCGGAGGGAGCCGGGGATGGAGGCGGTGGCACGAAGTTGGAGAGCGGCAAGCCCTGGGTGAAGGAGTCAATGCACATGGCATCGAAGTACTTGGCCGCCAGCATCTTGGACTCATTGCTGTTGAGGTTCTGCATGGGTTGGTCCAGTGTGTTGTTGAAGGGTGTCTTGAGAACACAGGTGGCCCCCACACCGGAGGGCAGGTGGAAAGTGTTCACCAGCTGCTGAGGGCTGGCATCAGGAGACAGCCTGATGCTGCAGGAGAGGAGCAAGAGACATGGGTCTCACCACCTTGGTCATCTTCTCATGGTATCTCAAGGCCTTGGCACTTATGGGCTGAACAGACATCGCTGAAGAGACACACAGCCCATGCCCAACATGAGCTGAGCTGAGCTGCTGATCTCAGTCAGCACCTCACTCAGAGACACCCTGGGGAGGATGTAGGCTGCTTTCTGCAGGGGGACATGGAACACCAGGCTCTGCTCCAAGACTGAGCCAGCCCTGCTGCAGGCTGTGCTCCCTGCTGCCCCAACAGCAGTCAAAGGGATGGAGGTAGGGATGGGGATGGGGCATGAGACAACGGGTCACCTGCAGGCAGCAGCTCTCACCGGTATTCACGCCGCTCCTCGTTGGCATAAGGAATGAAGTTGCCCTTCGGCTGGGTGTAGTTGTGGTACTGCGACGGCGAGAGGATGAGGGGTGGCAAGTCACCTGCAGGGACAAGGACACGAACCCGCTCACACCACTGCCCGCAGGCAGAGCAGCAGAGCACGGGCCCAGCCGCTGTCCCCACCAGCCACACTGGGGCAGGCAGAAGAGGCCACCAGTAGTCCCCATTGTGTGGGGTTGACTCACACGCACCTATTTCAGGCACAGAGAGTGCCACTGTCATGGCCACGCAGACGAAGAAGGCAGGCAGGAGGATCTGCGAGAAGAGGGCCTTGGTGTTGCGCTTGGCACAGTGGAAGCGTTTGACGATCAGCCCGTGGAACTGGCGCAGCTTCAGCCAGGAGCCCTCCAGCTTGAAGCTCCCCTGCCCAGCCAGGTCGTGGTCCTCCACCTCCGCCTCTTGCTCTGAGAGGGGAGAAGGACATCAGCCCCCAGTATGGCCACTCCCACACCGGCTGTGTCCTTCAGGGAGCTGAGTTGGGCGCAGCCACCCCATGGGACAGGGCAGCACCCAACCCTGACAGCCCCTGAGCCGCAGCAGCACTGGGATGTGAAGTGAGGCAGCTGGCTGGCGGGTTCCTCTTGGCCCAAAATGGGAAATTGAGACAATAGGTTTAAAAAACCACAACCGAAATTGGAGGTTTTGGCAGAACCCCTCCATTTTCCCATCAGCTCTCCCAGCTGGCGAGGGGTCAGCACAGTTGGGGTGACCCAGTGAGGCAGTGGGCATGGGGTTGGAGTTCTGCTGTGGCACTGCCTTGGCTCTGCCTCCCACCACCCAAATCACAGCGCTGAGAGCAGCCCTGGCCAGAGAAGCAGCACAGCATGTCCCTCAATTAATCATGAGAAGACCCACTGGGATAACCCAGAGAAGGATTTGCAGACAAAACAGCAGCCTCCTGCTGCCTGCCTGCACCCTCCATACTCCAGCAACCTCGGCAGCTGGGTTCAGAGAGCCCCAAGCCTGGGTTAGGGTATGGAGAGTGAAGCCAATGGCTGCAAGATGACTCCATGCCCAAAGGCCAAGAGGAGACAAACCACCTGGGAGGCAGTGCAAGGAGCGAGCACGTTAGTGGGGTGCGTCTGCAAGGTGGCACTGGCGGGTTGAGAGGTGAGGGGCAGAGCTAACGCTGGCTGTGCCTGTGCCCACCAGCGCCATGTCTCAGCGCAGGTCCCCCCCATGCATACCCCACCAGTCTGGGAGTGCCAACTGGTGACAGGAACCGTTTCCAGCCCTCCCACCCAGGCTGCAGCTCTCAGGGTGGATGCACCATCAGATCCCATGCAGAGTGTCGCCACAGCCCCCCCCCCAGACCAGGCACACCTATGTCCCCTGCCCAGCGGCACAGACAGGGGCTGGCACTGCCCTGGCCACCCTCCCTGTCCCCACCTCACAGGCCACCGGCGGCACCAACCTTGCAGACTGATGTTATCGGGGTCCTGCCGGTTATCGAACAGGGGCGCGTAGTCCCCAAAGAACTCAGAATAAGCCCCACCTTCGTCACCCCGCACGGAGCCCACCGAGGAGGCTGAGCGCAGGGACGCCTGTGACTGTGCCAGCTTGGAGCACGTCACCAGGTTGCTGAGCTCCACCTCGGGCTTCCCCAGGACGGGTGCTTCGGCCAGGATCTCCCCGTTGGCCTCAGGCTTTGCGCCCAGCTCGGTGGTGGGTGGCTGCAGGGTGTCCTTCTTGGACTCCTTCATGTCTGGAATGAGGAAGCAGGTTGCACCAGCCATGCCATCCCTTAAGTGTGGCACAGAGCAGGGATGGACCTGCTCTGCAAACACGGGGAGCAAAAGCTGGCTGCCCTGGGCTGGGATGGACCCCACTGGAGACCTCTCCTCCCCTTGGGACAGGAGACTCCCAAGGCAGCCACACACAAGGGGACAGGAGCCACCAAGCACCTGCAAAGTCTCATGGCCCCTCACCAGCCCCAGCAGCATCATGAGCGTTCCCACTGCTCATACCCGCGTCACTGTTCTCCAGCGACTGGTCCTCCTCAGACACCTTCAGGAAGACCTCCTCCAGCGTGGTGTCCATCAGCCCAAAACTGGTGAGGTCCAGCTCCTCCAGGCTCTGTTCCAAGTGCTGTGGAGGCAAAGAGCTGCTTAAGGAGGGCAGGAGGTGCCCGCAGCGCCAGGGCCCCCAACAACTGCCTGTCTGCCCACCCTGCCAGCCCCAACGGGTACCTGGAAGAGCCTCTCAAAGCACCCCTTCTTGACAGCCTCGCTGGGCAGGACGTAGGAGAGCTCAGTGTTGGTGTCCGAGATGAGGAGGCAGGAGGCCACATACTTCTTGATGAACTGGGAGACGCGAGGCTCAGAGCAGGGGCTGACGGAGCAGTGGGCCGGCGGGCTGTGCGGCTGGGCTGGCTCTGGGGCAGAGGGGCAGCACGGTTGGTCACTACACAACTGGCCTCCCATCAGGACCCAACACATTCATCCTACACCCCAGTGCTGTGGGGGGCTCCTCCAGCCTTCATCATTAGGTGCTGTGGTTTCCTGGCAGCCCAGCCTGCCCTGGGGATGGTGCTCTGCACTGCAGCCACACTGGACATCTCCTAGGGCAGCCCATGGGCCAGAGAGAACCAGTGCCTGGAAGCAAATATCACTAAGCAGGGTCTAACCTGGGACCCAGACAGGAGAAATCAAGGCAGAGCAATGTTACCTTCTACAGCCCTGCCTCATCCCCCTCCACCCTCCATCTGGCCTGAGACTCTGGGAGGGAGCACTTGGGTGTGGACCTTTCGCTCCTCTCCTGGGGTGAAGAAGGACTGGTCCCACCTATGCCTTTAAACAGGGTCCCATTGCCCCCAGACCTGTGCCATTCCTGGTGTCTGACTGCTTCTTCACTACTGTCAGCTTGTAGCCGTCACCGTACGTGCTCTTAAGGAAGAGTGGAGAGCCACAGCACTTGAGTTTGCCATGGGAGATGATGGCGATACGGTCACCCAGCAGGTCAGCCTCATCCATATGGTGGGTGGAAAGCAGGATGGTCCTCCCTGATGGTGTCATAGAGCTTCAGTCGAGGGGCCAGGGCCACTGCAGCCAGAGGAGTGATGCTGGGCTCTGGCACCTCCACTCACCTGGCTTGTACTTGAGGATGAGGTCCCAGATGGCTCTGCGTGCATATGGGTCCACACCAGCTGTGGGCTCATCCAAGATAACGGCCCGTGACCCACCCACAAAGGCTATGGCCACTGAGAGCTTCCTCTTCATGCCCCCTGAGAGGGTCTGCACCAGAGAGTGACGTTTGTTGGACAGCTCCAGGTCCTCAATCATCCTGGGGACAGGGGAGAAGCACCAGGGATGCTGGGGGACCGTACTGGTGCCCAATGATGCCTCTTCCCTGCATGGCCCTCAGCTGCTGGGACAGCCCAGCTGCAGCCAGGCTACAACAGCACCTTCTGGTGGCTTCCACAGCCTGGTACCCCAAGTTTTGGAAAGCACTTGGTGGAGCTGCTCCAAGAGACAGCTCTGCTACAAGATCACAGAATCACAGATAACCCACCATGGCTTTAAGCAGCAGGAAGGGGACCCACTCATGCAAAAGGAGCTGGAGGGTGCCTACTTGTCCATCTCCTTGCGGATCTCCTCCTCTGCCATGCTCTTGAGCTGCGAGTAGAACCAGAGGTGCTCTTCCACTGTCAGCCTGTCAAACAGCACATTGTGCTGCGGACACATGCCCAGGTTCTTCCGGATCTCATCCATCTCCGTTCGGATATCATGGCCATAGATGGTAGCGGAGCCCGAGGTTGGGGGGAACAAGCCAGTGAGGATGGACCTGGAAGGATGGGGAAAGACAACAATATGAGGAGTCTTGGATTCCTCTGTCTGATTTCAATCCCAACCACCTCTAGGAGCGTCTGCTGGGTTAAAGCAGAGCAAGTCAGTGCAGGGCCTGCTGCCTGTCCCCCTTCCATCCACACCACTGCCTGCACAGCACTACCTGCCCACGGGCCCTGCCAGGACACTACACAGCACCTTCCCACCCATGCAGCTGGCCAGAAGGACATGGCCCATGTCCACCCTGATGGGCACTCACATGGTGGTGGTTTTCCCTGCGCCGTTGTGCCCCAGGAAGGACACCACCTGGTTCTCATAGAGGTTGAGGCTCAGCTTATTCAGCGCCAGCTTCCTGTCTGTCTTGTAGACCTTGGTGAGCTTGTCAATGCAGACAACCAAAGGGAGGTGGGTGGGCTCCTCCTCGATGCCACGTGTCTCCTCTGCTGTGAAAGCGGGATGCTGAGGAGCTGCAGTGTGGCAGGAAGGCTGAGCTTGGAGGAGGGAACCCCAGGGGATGAACCTTCATCCCACCCCAGCTCATGGCCCCCTCCCCTCCTCTTCTTGCCAGCTTCCCCCCATCCCATGCCACAAACAGCAGCTCCCAGACAGGCAGCAGTGCGTGGGTAAGGATGCTGCCTTTAGAAAGGCACAGGGGACACACAGGGCTCCATGAGCACAGCAGGACCCTGTGCCACCCACTGCAATCCCTGTCTGCCCTCACCCATCCTCCTGCTCTCCATGGCACAGGCCTGATCCTCCTCCATGATGCTGAGGCGGGTGGTGCGGGACCAGGGCCACGTCCATTCCCAGGTCTCCACTCGCCCGTTGCCCAACCAGTAGGACTTCTGGAAGGGGAAGTACCAGGGCCGCGGCAAGCCAAACATACCTGCAATCACCCAGTATGGTCAGGATAGCCCTGCACCCATGTCTGGGAGGCAGGACAGAGGTTGGCACAGGTAAGGGCACGGGGCTGCAGGTTTCTGAGCTCAGGGACATCAGTGTGGGGTGGAGGCTACAGGTGCTTTGGCCAAATGGGCTCAGGGCAATGCTGCTGGGCTGTGCAAGGAAGAAAGGTCTTTGGGGCTTTGGGGTGGGCTTGGCTCACACTTTGGTTTCACCAGAAAGGCAAGGAAGTAGGTGAGACCCCTGCCCAAGTCGACAATAAAGGGGACCTGTGCTCCATGTGGACACCTTGCTTTGCTACAGCTGGCCAGTGAACTGAGCCATGCGACTGAAGGTCTCCAAGGAACCTGCTGGTGTCACCAGGTCAGGGCATATGGGCAGGTGTCCCCAGCAGAACACACGCAGGGCACCCTGAAGGCACACCGTGCTGAATCCCACCATGTCAGGGCTGAGCAACACCAGCAACCAGCAGCCTCCCCAGTGAGGAGGCTCTGTAACATCAGAGGTGCCCTCATGCCCCACTGCGCACACCTACCTGGGTGCACAGCCTCGATGTACCATGTGAGCACCCCGTACACCACAGCATCCACGATCAGCATCATCATGGACAGAAGGAGGTTGAAGTCATCTCCTTCCACAGGCGACTGACTGAAGGTGTGCCACTGGATGCCCACACCAGCCACCTCATACAGTGCAAAGTACTTGGAGCCCAGCCCGAAGGCTGTGGTGGACATGAGGGACTACAGAGAGGTGAAGAGAATGAAACATTAGTATGGATTCACAGGGCAGCTCCAGAGGGACAGGTTGGGGCAAATTCCACCAATGCTGCCTCACCCAGCCCCATGGAGATGGTCCCTGCCCTGGGAGGCACCAAACTTTCTGGAGATGCCTCCAAAGCCCCCTGGGGAGTTGGTTCATACAGGCAGAGGTTTGGTGGCCTGTGTACTGGACATACGGTGCCCAAGGCAAAGCATCTCCCCAGCAGCTGTAGCCAACTCACCGCGATGCACTTCTCAAAGGCTGTGATCTTGTCGTGTGCCACCTCCTCCCGGATGGCCACATACATGTAGGGCACATAGCTGAGGAAATAGATGATGCCACCACAGGCGGAGGCCAGCTTGGCCTTGGAGTATAGCACGGATACCAGGAAGCTGCAGGGAGGACAGCATCACCTTGGGTCCTACCCCACCAGGGCTTTCCCCACACCGTCTGATCTTGGCAGTGTTGAGGTGACAAATCCCATGGCACAAGGACCCCAGCACTGCCCCGCCTCCTCACCCCACAGAGTGGACCAGGCACTCACCAGAACATGATAGTGGCCACTGCGTAGATGGCAAGAAAAAGCCAGATGATGAGGACATCGCTGTGCATCAGGACCTTGCCATACTTCAGGATGGCCGTGAGCGCCGTGACCGAGATGGAGAGCTGGACAAAGCCAGTGATGAACCAAGCCACCCAATGCACTGCATTGTTCAAACCCATCATCTTCATCACCTGCAGGGCCAAAACTGCTCAGTGGTGCTGTCCCCTACCCTGTGCACCCCGGCTGCCTCACTTGCTGGGGCTGGGAGGAACGGGCAGCACTAAGGTGTCCCCGGGGGCTGGGGAGCGGGCAGGGCACAGCACCCTGTGCCAGGGTGTCAATGGGATCAGCTCCCTGCAGCACTGAGCAGGGCTCATGCTGGGAACATGTGGAAGGACCAGCTCAGCCCAGTGATGTGAGATCTGAGCCCGCCCCAGCTCACGCACCCCAGAGAATGGGGAAGGTGCCCAGGGACAGCACAGGACATAAGAGCTCGGAGATGCCAGCTTCTCCCCAGGGATCTCTCTCACCATCCCTACCTCTTTCAGGCGATGTTCCTTCTCTGTCACAATGTGTTGGATCATCATGGCCACTGAGTAGACCCAGGAGATCACCATGCACAAGGGCATCATATGCTCAATGACAAAGAGGAAGCTGTTGGGGTAGAGAGGGGAGAGCTGGATGGTGGCACCACAGAGACCTGGGGAGACCCTAGGGCACAGGGCAGAAGAGGGGCTCTCCCACTGCTCGGGGACAACCAGTCCTCCAGTCCAGCAGCTCCTCAGTACCCTGAAAGAGCATCTCCAGTGAGCCCATAGGACAATCTAGTGTCCTGGCTCTCAGGTCCTGGCAGGCATCAGCCCAGTGCCCTGCATACCCTGGTGTAGACAAGACACTATCCACCCTTCTGCCCTGGAAGGTTGGTGCATCTGGGGCTTCTCCAGGTGCTTTCTCCATACCACTGTGTTCAATAACCACCAACAGATCCATGTGCTATCCATTTACTCCACTCCTCTTGTCCTCCCAAGACTTTCAGCCTCCAAGACACCCCACAGCCATGAGTTCCTCACTTCACCCACTAACTGGGCAAAAAATCCTTTCCTGCTTGCCTAGCCTGGTGGTCCAAGGAGCAGTGTTTAACTGGTTGCTCATCATTCCCAATGTCACCAACCTCCCACAGGCCCCCAAACTTCTCCTTTTCTCCCAGCTGAGGTGTCCTGGCCTGCAAAGGAGAAGGGTGAAGGTCCTGCCCCTGCCACATGGGTGCTACTCACTCGTCCCGGGTGTAACATGGGTACGGGAACATCTGCACATAGTTGCCAGGCTCCACCACGTCATGGCCAACAAATGTGTTGATGAGGGCACGCTCCATCATGTCTGAGAGGAGGAGCAGAGGCTGAGCTTAGCAGGCAGTGCAGGCAGGGGCTGCAGGCAGCCATGGCAGGGAACTGGCACTCACCCTGGATCCAGACAAAGCCATAGAGGAAGTAGAAGCGGCCACCAGTATTGGGGCCAGGCCGCCAGTATGCCCGCCGGATCTCGTTGGTCTTCTCCGTGAAGCTGGAGTTCTGCCGGATCTTGTACATGACGTGGGGAGGCAGCGACCCGTCCCTGTTGGTCTGGAAGATGACACCTGCAGTGGGAGAGGCAGGGAAGCCACTGGCACCACGAGACACAGCCACTGCAGTCATAGGCAGGGACATGCAGAGGTTCAGCATGTCCCAAGCAAGGGCACCACAAGGGCTGCCATGGGTTAGGTGGGGTGGGCATGGTCCTGGCTTGGGTTACAAGGGCACACTGGGGCAGTGGGAAACCAAGACAGCAGCAGGGTGCTGCAGCCAGCAGGGCTCAGCCAGGGCAGAGGATGGGTACAGTGAGATGCTAGGTCTGCTCATCCACGCAATGCATGCACCAAGGGAGCATGTCCCAGACCAAGTGGCCCCAGCTCAAAGCACAGCTGGAGAAGGGCATAGCTTCAGGGACCCCTACGAAGGGGCTGGTTCCTGGGGCATACTGGCGAAGACGGTGACGTTGTCCTGGTAGGCCTGGTTCAGGGTGTAGTTGACGATGCTCTCCTCATCTGGGAAGCCTTTGAAGATGTCCACGCTGACCTAGCAGGAGGGAAAGGCTGGTGAGAACCCACTGCTCCTGATGGTCTAGTAAATGGACCCTTGCAGACAGTGCAACATGTGCACCTGCAGCCACTCCATGAGCCCCTGAACCAAACGGTGGATGGGCACCTCCACCACTTTTATCTATCCTAAGGCACATGGCACTAATGAAGCCACTGTCTCCACCAGGGCTCCTGTCCCATGGCTTTAAGATGGTCTGAGCAGACCTAACCCTCTTCAGCCCCACAGAGCATGGCTGTGGGCAGTGGGTGCTGCTCTGGCACCCATGTTCCCACAGGGCACAACCTCACCTTGGCCATGAAGTGGACCCAGCCACAGGCAGCATTGTCGATGGTGTCCAGCTGCTGGAGCAGGACGCTGGCGTTGGGCAGGGAGAAGTTGCCGTTGAGGAAGTTGTGGAGAACGTCACTGTCGGAGACATTCAGGATCTCTGGGTGCTTGTGCAGGTCAGCAGTGAACTGGGACAGAGACACAGGAGGGAGACATTGGGACACACCCTGCCTCTCAGTGCCCTATGGGCACAGGCAGGACCCAACACTCCTGGGAATGGGGGAAGCAGCATCCACCCCAGCATCCACCAGGGAATCAGCCTGGTCCTCACAAGAGCAGGATGGGCACACAGGACCACCCAAGAAGCTGTGAGGTGCCTTGGGGCAGGACACCCCATTCCCACCCACTTCCCAAGCCCAGCCTGGCTCAGTCCCCACTGCACCATCCTACCTGCTGGAGCCAGCGGATGCGCCTCTGCAGCCTGCCCTCCTCCAGGTAGGCACGGATCTCAGGGGAGATGTTCAGCCATGCTTTGGCATAGTGGGTGACGTTGCCCACAAAGGCAAAAGTCTCGTTGGCCTGGAGAGGAGAAAGGTCACACAATGGGAGCAAGCAGGAGGTCCCCTGCTTTCTGGGATGACCAGCAGCATGGAGGCAGATGCCTGCTTCTGGCCCCCCTGAGCCTGCTTGGGCACATGAGGGGCTGTTGGGAGAGGAAGGACAGGAGAGGAAGGACAGAAGCCCTGGCCTCTGCACCCTCACCTTCAGGATGACCTTATCCACTTCAGTGCCCACAGGCGCATACAGGATTTTGGGGTTGCTGGTCATCAGGTGCACGAGGAGGCCCAGGTTCCGCTGCTCCTTGCTGGTGAAGCCCAGTGAGCTCATGTTGCCCTGCTTCAGCGCCTCAGGCTCGATTGTCCTGCAAAAGGGGCTCAGGCTGCCAACGCCACTCCCCAGCACCCCTCACTGCAGGCAGCTCCCACCCCTACCTGTGAGGGGACTCCCCACTCAATCCCATGCCAGGGCAGTGCTGCCCAGCACAGGGAGCTTCCCCCGGGCACTGCACAAGATGCAGTGCAGCATCCATCGCCCACCTCCGCACCAAGGGGTGACTGGGGCCCCCACCATGCTCCCACACCCCTGTCCCAGTCAGGAAGCACCTGGATCCAGCTGCTCCATCCCTCAGGGTTCGTACCGGTTGTTGCCGCAGAGGATGGGCTGCAGCCCAGCCCAGAGCTGCACAAATGCTGAGAACTGTCCCTGGGGGTTCTCACCCCCAGCCGGGCTCCCCCCGGCACCCTCCTCCGCTGTGGTGTTGCTGGCTGTGGCATTAGCACTGACCCAGCCAGTGCTGTTGGCAGTGGGTGGTGGGGCCTTGCTGGCACAGGCTCCCCTGGGCAACAGCTTGGCCAGTGCTGAGAGGATGTTCACGTCACGGAGAACCTTCTCCATCTCTACCAGGTCCTCGAGGAGGGCATGGAGGCGGTGCTGGGCAGCCGTGCTGTTCACCTCATCCAGCTTCAGCTGCAGGAAAGTGGTGACCCACGGCTGGGTGACATAGGGAATACCAAGCAGTAGCATGTCCCACTTCTTGATGAAGACATCAAGCTGGGGACCCACACTCAGTGCCATTCACCCATGGTTATCAGACAGAAGGAGAGCAGGGAAATGCTGGCATGGTCTTGCTGGCCACAGAAGATGTCTCAGGCAGGAGAGGTGGCCACAAGGGACATGTCAGACTCAGGTGGGACAAGGAGGGGGAGCTCAGAGCCAGCCCTGGGGAGCTGTGCCACCAGGGACACTGCCAATCCAAAGGAGAGGACCCTGCATGGACATGCTTGGAGGATGCTGGGAACACCCAACCTTGTCCACTGGGCAGCATATGAGGAGGTGTCAGGATGGGAATCATCTGTGGGACTGGGCAGTGGGTGCTCATGTGGGATAAAGGGGTGATCAACACACATGTCAGCACACATCCCTGGTGAGGGAGGAAACCCTGCCCCAGGCCACGTCCCTGTCACACCCCACCCTGCAGCTATGAGGAAGCAGGGCCCACAGCCCCGTGCTCACCCTGCTGACGATCCTGGGGGTGTCCAGCTGCTCCCGCAGCTCAGCCGCGAGCTGGCTGAAGCGGTCGCGGCGGGCAGCACGGCTGCCGTTGCAGGCCAGCATGCGGTACGCCTGCAGCACCGGCTGCTGCGCCGGGCCCACGCGCAGGAGGCGCCGCAGCCCTGCAGGGCTCCGCTCACACGTCAGCTGCTCCAGCACCGGCCCCGTGAAGAGGACACCCTGCGGGACACGGAGCCATGCGGGCACTGCACAGGCTGCAGGGCCCCGGCCCAGTGATCACCCCATGAGCTGCTCACCTCCATCTCTGTGACCAGGGCCTGGGGGCTGTTGGAGGCAGCGGGTGCTGGTGTGGCAAGGCCCAGGGCCCGGGAGAGCAGGCGCAGCAGTGCTGGACGGTGTGGGGCTGCGGTGGGGTCCCGCAGTGCCCTGTGCACCAGCCCCTCCCGCAGGCTTCTCCAGCCGCCTGGCAGACTCTGCTGCAAGAGGAATGGCTGGTGGGGGGGGTCCCTGTGGTCCCGCTCCATGTGCCCCCCCTAGGCACAAGGGGACGGCCCTACAGCACCATGTCCACAGTCTCCATGGAGAGGGGAAGAAAGGGGGATATGCAGATGGGGGGGAGCATGTGTCCTCCGCACCCTAGCCAAGGGAGGAAACAACTCCCTCACTCCCTCCACATTCACCATCCCATTCTCACTGCAATGGGAAACTGAAGCACAGGCACTGATGTACCTCAAAGCACTGGCAGCACCAGGACAGACTGCAGCTGCTCTGGCCACCTGACAAGAGCCCCATCACATCCCCCTTGCTGGGACGGACACCCCCAGATAGCCCTGTGGTGGGACATGGAGGATGAGCTCTGCTTCACCACATCCCCCATGCATGGCACTGCTCCTCACCTCCAGACGTGTCATCTTCTCACTGGCACCAAACCCATCCCACAGGTCTCGCTCCCAGGTCTCATCGGACACCAAAGGAAAGGAACCGAAGAACAGGCGATAAACCTGCACCAGGGGTGGGAGCAGGGCTGCTGAGCATGCAGGAGCACAGGCACCCACCTGCCCAGCCATGCCCTAGCACAGTGGGGTGGCAGCACAGGACAAGTCCTGCTGGGTGCCCTTGGACTCCCACCCTGTGGGTCTGGTGGTCAGAGCAGTCTGGGTCAGGAGATGCCCATTGGCTGGGGCAGTGCAGAGCCCTGCTGGGCAGTCACCACCTCCCACAGGTTGTCACCCACCTCCCGCAGGTCAACACTGGAGCCCAGGAGCAGCTCAGCCGTGCTGTTGGGCAAGGAGAGGTTCTGTGTCAGGAAGCGGTGCAGCTCACTGCGGTCCTTGGCTGCCCATGCCAGTGTGAAACTGGATCCTATCAAGGAACAAGGAGCAGGAGAGAGCGGTCAGAGCAGCCCCCCAGCATCAGGGACACAGCACAGCCCCATGTGGGGACACATCAAAGCTGGCCCTGCGTGTCACACTGATATGTGCCCTGGGATGAGGCACTGCCCACATGCCATCACATTGCTGGCTGCCTGGTGGATGGGCATCTCCATCCCTGCCCGCACAGGCAGCGAGGGGCAGGCAGGACACAGCCTACCTGCTGGGTTACTGAAGTGGGTCTCCATGGAGCTGGGCTCACTGCTGCTGAGAGCTTCCAAATGTCTGCGCAGCGACTCCAGCTCCTCCTCCAGCCCCGGGTGCTCTGGGTCGAAGAGGCTGCTCTGCTCCACCGCTTCACTGAGGTGCTCCAGCAGCTGTGTCACCCTGCAGGAGCCCAGCACCACTGCAGCTTCAGGGACAGGGGCAGAGGGATGGGAACACCTTCCACAGAGCCCCTCAGGTGTACAGGGCCGCAGGGCTGCCTGCCACAGGCACCGCTGCCGTGGAGCTGCCCTCACCATATCCACCGTGCCAGGGGCACAAAGCAGAGCCCAGAGGTGTCCCCAGGGGCCACCATCCTCCTCCCAGCACCAGGCACCCAGAGGGGACCAGGCTGAGGTGTCCCCTGCAGCCCAGGGACACGGTGCTCTGCATCCAAACGCTATGGGGGACACAGCCTTGTGGCTCGGCTGCAGTGGGGCAGTGCCAGCGTGGGAGGGGACAGGCTGTGTGCAGGAGCGTGCAGGGGGAGGAGGGCTGGACTCACGTGGAGTTGGAATACTGCAGGAAGCCGAACTCGTCGCGCTGGCCATCGGGGCACAGGGACTGCATGACGGGCAGGATCCCGGCCGAGGTGAGCGGTGCCGCCGTGTAGAAAGCTGGAGCCAGCAAGAGCACGGGAGAGGCCAGGGAAGGTGCGGCCAGGGCAGGAAGAGAGGTTGGGAGGCAGGGAGGAGGCAGAGGGGAAGCAAGGGGCCACCAGAGAGACAGACACTCAGTTCAAAGAGGAGCTGGGCCCTACGAGCCCCGTGGGAGGTTGACGGCCAAGGTCACAAGGCTGCAGCATTCCCACAAGGCTGGCCCTGGCTGGTGGCCCTGGGGCTGTGGGCAGCTCTTGCACTGTGGCTCCTGCCCCTGCTCACTCCCCCCCTCGTGACAGGTCCCTGTGGCCCCAGGACAATGCTGGTTCTGCTGCTTGCCCCAAGAAGGCTGCCAACCTCCCCCGGCCTCTTGGCCCCTCTTGTTAGTAACCTCCGAGGCACCAGCAGGTCTCCAGAGGAAGAGAAGGAAGAACACAAGGAACAGAAGAGTTGTCACCCACAGCCCTGAGAGCACCCGACCTCCCCCCATCCGGCTGCTGGAGATGTGTGGACATGGAAACACAGTGGGGAGAGATGGACTAAATGAGGAGCAGCGAGGGGACACCAAACCTTCCCCCCTTCACTAGTGCCAAGCCATCATCCCTGCTGGGGTCGTTCCATGGAGAGTAAGTCCAGGAGGGCCCTGTCCAAAGGGGACCAGAGGTTGTCACTAGGCAGTACGGGGTAGGGACCCTGCTCTTGCACCCTGGCCGGTGGCCCCATGGTTAAGAGGCAGGTCAGTGCAGTTAGCACAGCTGTGGCAGTCAGGGGCTGGTGAAGACGGGCTTCTGGCAGCCTGCTGGGGTGGCAGCATAGACAGTTGGTGGCCGTGCCACACTTTGGTGACAAAGCCAGTGCACGGATGCAATGTTGCTGACCTCCGTGTCCCAGCTGCAAGGCACCAGAACAGGGATGGTGATGGTACAGGGGTGGAAGCCAATTCCAGGCTCTTGGGGACCAGCTTGGGGAAGATTTAGATGCCAGCACCCAGTATGGTCTGTGTCAGAAGGGAGGCAAGAAAATGGGGTAGGCCAAGCCTCCACCTGGCCTGGAGAGCCCTCTGCAGGCAAGGAGACTGGCTACATCACCACCAGCAGCCTTAGCAGTGAGAACCTGGCACCACCAGCCTGGTGGGGACACCGCTATGGGCCAGTCCTGGCTGGGCAGCCCCCAGTGCCCAAGCTCATCTTCACCAGCCACAGAGGAAGGCGATGAGGTTACAGAGGTGCGGATTAGGCCAGAGTGAGTTGATCCAAATTAGGCTCTTTCTCCCCAGAATAGGTGGCTGGCACAGGCAGGGAAGGGGGGGAGGCACCCACCCGCCCCACCAACTTACAGACTGGCCCATGCAGTAGAGACATGGAGGGCAGGCAGGCAGGGGAGATGGTGGGAAAGAAAAAGAAAACGTGAGCAAAAAGAAAGAAAAACCAACCCCAAAGCAGCACACAACAGAGCACACGTCAGTGCCGGGCAGGGGCAGCCAGACCCGTGGTTGGCCTGGGCTCTCCCTCACCGGCTGCACTGAAACACAGGCTTGGACCAGTGTTATGTTGGGTCACCACCACAGCAACTCCCGCTGACCCCACCATGCCACTAGTGAAAGGGCATCCCCCAGGGTTTCTTGATGCCCCCGGGAGCTGGTCACCCACAGGCACCAGAAGGCACAGCCCAGCTGGAGCTGCAGCACACAGCTCTGGTACCAACCTTGTGAGTGCTCCAGAGTGCCCCAGCTAGGTACAGGGCTCCATGCAGTGCATCCCCCCCCAGCACCGTGAGGAGCTGGGAACCCTTCCCAGCACCACCCCAACACTCCTTGAGCACTCAGGGGTACTGCAGCTGTCCCAGCACCATCCAGCTCCAACTTCCCCTTTCCCCCCCTGAACACCCCTGGTTGGTGCTGCCACCCACAGATGGGATGCTTCTGGCTCTCCAACACCCCTGCATCTGCCCCACCAGCCCTCAGCTGCAGCCCCTACCCAGCAATGTGTCCCACAGAAGACCCATCTGGGTCCCACCAGCTGTTGTGTGTCCCTCTCATCCCCAGGTTGTCCCTGGGGGCTGCAGCAGTTCCCCAGAGCCTCAGTGTGGCCCCAAGTATGAGTGCTCTGAGCACCACCCTGCTGGCACCCACCTTCCTTCACAGGGATGGTTGGCTTCTTCTGCCGCAGCCCCAGGAGGATGAAGAAGAGCACCAGGGGGATGAAGATCTCAAAGGTCAGCACCCACTGGGGAACACAGAATGGTTTAGGTTGGAAGGGACACTAAAGATAATCCAATTCCCCTGGATAACTCAAAGCAGAGGGATCGTGATGCTTGAAGACAGGACCCAGCTATCAAGAAGGAACACGGACAGGATGGAGGGCCCTGGGATGCGTGCACAGGGCAGCACCATGTCCACGTCTTGCAGGTAGCTGTTGTCACTGTCACAGCTCAGCAAGAGACAAAAGGGTCCCTGGGCACCCCGGGATTTCCTGCCTGCTCCATCCTGCCCACGGGCACCTCAGGACAGGAGAGGGTATCACAGCGGGATGCCTACCCCATCAACATGAACAGTGTGCTGGAGCTCAAGCCCAACCCCAGCAGGCCACCACAGCCAGGGCTGCCATGGGGAGATGACCCCAAGTCTTTGCCTTATGGCTGGCAAAGAGCAGTAGGCCCTCATCATGGCAGTGCCCTCGCAGTCAGTACTTGCCTGCCATGATGACTCCCTCCCACCCATGCCACCGCCAAGTCCCACTCGGGGACTGTGTAGGGGACAGACCCCAACTGCATCATGACAAGGTTCAGCCTGACCAGACCCTGGCACTGGCTCCAGATGCAGAAGGGGGGGAAACCTGGGGGTCCAGGCACCCCCTCTGGGCCCTCCCAGAAAGCCATGGCTGCATGGGATTTCCTCCAGCAGCATACAGATAATCACAGCAAATCCCCAGGAATCCCTGACCCTGATCGCGCAGGCACTCCAGGCTGGGCTCCGTGCCCAGAGGCCCTGGAGATGGGCATCAACTGCTGAATTGCACTGGGAGTGCCCAGGCCACGTCACTGTCACATTGCCCTTGCTGCTGAGAGGAGAGACTGAGGCACGGGGTGAGGTGAGCCAACCTCAGCTTGCTCCACTGCCAGAGCTGATGCTGAGACCCTGGAACCTGCTGCCACCACAAGCAGAACAGGCCCTAGCTCCGCTGGGCACCAACCACCAGCTCCTGCACCAGCCCAGGTACCAGAACGATGCAGTGGGCTGGGAACAGACAGCTTCGACCCCACAGCAGCTGCCTGGAAGGATGTAGCTGATGGCAGGGTCAGGCCCTCCTGTCCCAGCAGCGTCACCTCCACACTGCCCTCAGCAAGGGGCTGCAAACACTCTGGTAGAAATTCCCAGCATCCCTGAGGCACCCCCATCCTCAGGCTCCCACTGGCATGTGACAATGACACTCCCATGAGCATCAGGGTTGGTAGGGCTATGGGATGGACATGGCTGCACCCATGGGTGCTCCCCATGCTGCCCTCCCCACTTTCAGAGCTGCCAATTTCAGTGGAGGCGAAGACCAGAGGAAGAAAGGCTGGAGGGGATGGGGAGGGTTGATGCCCCAGCAGTAGTGCCAGGGGATCCCCATCTTTCTGGCACCACCAGTCCAAGGCATAGTCCCCAGTGTCGCTGTCCTGGTACAGGGGAGGGAACCAGGGACACCCCGAGCTGCTCTGCCAGTCCCTGGCCCTGCCCCTCGCTGCCTGCACCCACCTCCTGCCTGTTTACCAGGGACACAATCAGGCCTCTGTGCCCAGGCGCCTGTGGGACTGTCCCCACAAACCCGCTGGGCCGTACCAGGCTCCCCTGGGGACCGCTGGGTCCTTGGTGGTGACGGCAGGGACCTGCCTCTTGTTATTTATCTTTTTAACGTGGGTCATTGACCTTTTGCTCATCTCCTGCACCCCCTGTCCCCAACCCTGCCTGCAGCACTGCACACCCCAGAGCCAGGGCGCAGGGTCCCCACCACCAGCCTGGGTTCACTCAGTGATGGGCACAGGGGCAGAGTGGGGCTCCCCAGCCCACACCCTCTTGGGCTGATCCTGCCCCTTTTGGTCACCTGCAGGGGCTTCCCAGGGAGACCATGGCTGCTCCACACCCACAGTGGGGCAAAGCCTCAGGCATGCAGCAGTGGGCAGGGATGCTGTCCCAAGGGAGCATCCCACAGTGGCATAGCTTGGGGACGAGGAGTCCCTGCCTGCAGGTGCAAGGCACTAGGGGATGTTTTGGAACTGTATGAGGAAACAAGCAGAGGGGAAAAGTGAGCATCCACACAGCTGAGAGAGCAACAGGACAAGGAGAGGGAAAGGGCCAGTGCCTGCTAGAAGCTGGCTGTGCCCTGCACTGACCAGAATGCTCTGTCCTCTTCTCTCACACATCCCCTTCCACGTTCCTCTACCCTTGCTGGGAGCTTGTGGAAGAGGGACAGGAGATGGATGGGCACAACTTGCACTGAGCAAAAGGGTGACCAGAAGAGGTGGCTGCAGCCAGGCCTTGGCTGTCCCCATTGGTGAGGGCACAGGCAGGGCACTCTGGGGAGCACTGGGAGGTGCCCAGGCTGGTGATGACCATCAGCAGGTGTCTGGGGTTGGGTCCCCCCACCTGAGGTGGGGGCTCAGCTGGGCTGTGTGGGTCTGCCCAGCCAGGTAGGATGGGGCTTGGAGCAAGCTGCTCTAGTGGAAGGGGTCTCTGCCTGTGGCAGGGGAGTAAAACTGGATGAGCTTTAAGGTCCCTTCCAATCCAAACCATTCCAGGGTTCTATGATTCTATGAAGTGGGAAGAGGAGGAAAATCCCACTGGGGTTTGCCAACACCTCTCCTGAGCTGGGATCCTGGGAGAGCGAAGCCCTGCAGTGCTGTGTCTTGTGGGCACCAGCATGCCAGGGGACACAGCAGCACTTGGGCACAGGCACATGGCAGAGGGACACCCTCCCTGGCACAGGCCTGTCCCGAGCAGTGGCAGTGTGGAAGCCAGTGCCAGCCTCTCCCTGCGGGCCAGGAACAAGGCAGCACCCTGCAGCCCTGACAGCTCATGCCTACCCTCCTCCCAGCCACCGAGGCCACCAATGGCTCCACAACCAGTGTCCCCACAGCCGCCTGTTTGCTGGTGCTCCTGGGGACACTGCCCAGGGCTGCCGGGCCAGCAGCACCCTGCCAGCTCTGCGGGTCATCCCCCTCCACCAGCTGCAAACAGTGAGGGGGCAAAGAGCACCCTGAGCAGGTGGTGCTGCCCCATCAGTTCCTGCTGCAGATCCGGCTCCCATCCCAGCCAACCCCGGTGGCAGGGCCCTGCCAGTGGGTGAACCCCAGTACTCCGAAGTTCGGCCTTTCTTACTTTGGAGGTATCAAGGTCCCACAGCTCTGCTCCCACACACCAGGGAGGAAGGGAGAGATCTGCCAGGACAACCCCCCTGTGTGGTGGGAGCTTTCCTGGCTCCTGGCCAAGGAGCAGAAGGCACAAACCCTGCACAGGCCGAAGCAGTCCCGCTGTGTGTCGGTTTTACACCTAACAGGGGTTTAAAGCAGCTACCAGAAGTCATTGAGGAGCCCGCCCTTAGGACACAGACAGCTGAGCTCAGCCCCTGTGCCAGCAGAGCCAAGGGGCCAGAGCAGACCTGTGCTGGGGGTGGCAGCCAAGGAGAGCAGAGCACAGGCTGGGCTCTTCCCTGGCCAGCACCAGCACCTCCACTCTCACTGCTTGGGAGAGGGCAGCATCTCCAGGATGCTGACAGGGAGTGCGAGGTGATGGTGGGACT